CCTTCTAAAGAACCTGCCCGGGGGGGGGGCGGTTTCCTGCGATCAGCTTTAGATTTGAAGCGTTCAGGAGGTGCTTCAGAGCCGTGTCTGTTAAATAGCTTGTTTCGTGCTCTCACCCGAGAGTGAACCTGGTCGAAAGCTGCCTCAGAGGCTGGGCTTTGGCGTGCTGGGGTGGGCTGCACGGGCGTAGGGCAACATCCGTGATGCTCCGATACTGGCCAGCCAGCTACGAGCCCTCCTGGATGCCCCTGAGCCTGCCTCCCCCCGGGCTGGAGCAGAAAGGACAGGGATGCAGCCACTGCGGGATGTGTGGATATTTGATGTTGTAAACAGCAGTAGCAAAGGTCAGGCTGGCATCCCTGGCTCTGGGTCCTTGCCCTGCCCGCTCGTTTCTCGCGCTCGGCCGTCACCCATGGCAGCAGCCTGGGTAGAGACGGGTTTTGCCGCGTGCTTCGGAGCGACGTGAGGAAATTGGGCCCTTTGGTAGATAATCAAGCATATTCATTTTCATTTAGGTGTTGGATAAAAAGGATGATTTTTGCATAAAAGGAAAACTACCAGTAGCTAATTGCTTTGAATTGCCAGCCGTGTGATTTCACTGGGAGCTGCAGAAATCCAGGTGCCCGGCTCCTAAACAGGAGAAAAACCCGCCTACCCTGCGCTCCCCGGCAGTGCAATTTTCCTGGTTTTCCCTTTTCCAGCTGCTTCTCTCCCTGAGCAATAGGGGACCCAGCGCTGGCAGGCTGTTGTGCTGAGGTGGATGCGTTTTGAAGTGTTAGCAAGCGCGTTGGTGATGGCTTCAGCCCCACGGCCCCACCAAGTGCCCTCTCCAGGGCTCCTGTGCAAGGGGTTGGGTTCAAAAAAAAGGAGGTTTCAAATGTTTTTATTCCTATTCCTTAGAGCCCCATCCTCCTTGGACACTCATATAGTTGGAGCATGTTACGATGGGAAGAAGATGGTGCTGAGGCAGGAGGGAGAGGTGACCTTCATCCCCTCTGCCTCATAGCAGGCCCCGTTAGCTGTGTCTGGCTCAGGGCTCAGTGTCCTGCTTTGTCACCTGTGGTGTCCCTAAGTGTCCTGTTACCTCCCCCGCAGACCCGGTCTGCTCTTGGAGCCTGCGCTGTGACTCTGGGCAGTCCCTCGGGTTGCTGCCCTGGCCTGTGGGTCATGGCACGGAGCGCGGGGAGCAAGTGTGGAGCTCAGCGTTTCTCCTGGCGAGCGCGCAGCCATGGTACCCGGGACGCCGTCGCGTGTGGTGCTCAGACCTGGTGGTTGGCATGCCCGGCATCATTCCAACGCACTCCTCGATGCCGGGCTGCTGCTGGGAGCGTTTTGCTGTTAGACTTGGTGATGGGGTGCTCTGCTTCCAGGCGGGTGCTCGGCCAGCGAGGGTCATGCCTGACCTCAAATGTGTGCGCGATTACAAATCTGCCTCCATGGGCACCTCTGCCTCATCCGTGGGGTGGGTAAATGGTGTTCTTGTAAAGTCCCCTCATGAGTAGCATGTGAGCAAGCCCATCTGGGGGTAGGGGACTCAAACCGGACTGCCCTTCCCTTTTCCTTGATAGAAACCATAGCAGGCTGGAGGGAAGTTCCTCCGTTGAGGATGACGTGATCTGTTTGCAGGGAATGACCAGTCACCAGAGCCTTGCTGGCTGGTTTGGGGGCTGGGGGTGGAAGGACCCTGTTAAGTACCGCAGCTGGGAGATGGGTGCTGAGCCGTGGGGGTGTATGCTGAGCCCTGCTGACAGCATTGCCTTGGTCGTGGCTCCAGTAACAAGGGTGGGATCTAGGGTGCAATTATCCTTCTAAAGGGCATCCCTGGGCTCAGCTTCCAGCCTCTCCCTGCTGTTGGGCACGTTTGGGATGCCTTTCAGTGATGATTGCTCTTCCCCTTGGGGCCAGGAGGAGAACTGGAAGAGGGAAGGATGGAGCGGTGCCAGTTGGGATTGAGGGTGGAAAAGTGGCTGGTGGTGGGACATTGGGTTGGCCCATTTCCCTTGCCTGGCTCAGCTTGTGGCTTGCTTGACGGAGGCAGCACATGGTGAGAAATACAAATAAAAGGAGGATATTCAGGTCTGGGGAAGAGGCGAGAGAACGAAGCCCCCAGAAGAGCTGGCAAAGCCTGGAACAATCTTTAAAGGGCAATGCTGTGGAAGGGGCAGACAGCCAGCACTTGTCCCGGTCCCGGAGCAGGTGGGAGGCAGCGGAGGGGCTCTCCCCTGGCTCTGTTTTGAGTTTTCCATGAACTGTGGGTCTGTGCTTCACCAAGGACACGGGTACCACTATGCCCATTCCCACCGCTCCTGCCAGGCTGCGCCACCGCTACACACTGCGGGCAGTTATACCCCGAACAAAGGAGACGCCAAAAACGGTCCATGGGAGAGAGGAGGTTACGTGAGGACAGAGCAGCTAGGAACGCCGGAAAATCCAGTTAGCCAGCCATCCTGTGACCTACTTTCCTTTTGGCGAGAGCTGTGGCTTCGCAGGGGTGAATGGCTTCTAATTTTAGCATATGGTTCATCAGGGAAGTCTGTGCCTTTCTCACCGCCGTGCGGGGCATGGATGAGGCGTTGGGATGCGGGTCGGTGCTGGCCCGTATCCGATTTTCTCAAAATCCAGGTTGGTAGATGCTAAATGCCCATCACGCTGCTTTTCCCTCTGGTGACCTACTTAACACGTGTGATTGGGAAAGTTCCTTGGCGTCGGAGAGGATAATTGTGGAAAACGTGACCTGTAATCCCCTCCTGCCACACTCCGCTGGCCAAGTAATTGATTTCCAGAGAAAAACCTTTACGGATTCTGCTGGGAAAGAGCAGAGAGAAGCTGCTCTCAACTGCGGTGAAATCCTGCCCCGTGAGGCCGTGGTTGCGTTCAGGAAGGTTTTAGGGTCATAGGGGGTTTGATACTCAGGATCCAGGTGCCTCCCGCCCCAGGTGCATGTTGGTCAGTGCCTCTTCATCTTGTCTCCAGAGATGGGCTGTGAAGTGGCACCTGGAAAAGTCCCTTTTGGGAAATGTTGGCAGTGGAACAGAGGAAAACACACACATGTACCCGCACCAGGATTGAAACTGCAAACCCTGCCCTTTTGGAAAGGCTGTACGAGCATGGAAGTTAATGTTTTTGTTACTACCCGAGGACTAAACTGAGGATCAGCAGCGTTTTCAGGAGCAACTGAGTCCTCTTTTCAAAGCTGTTTGTGGTCCTGGAAGGGACAGAACGCTGTTTAAAACAGTGCTGGGTGCCAAAATCACCAAGGTTGCCCCAAAAGCGCAGTGCTCAGAGGCCCGTTCCAGCTGCCGGGTGTGGGTTGGGGTGCGTTTGCTGGTCCCCGTCCCCCCCTCTCCAGTCCCTGGGTGCCAGAAGGGCAGTGCAGAGTTACCCAGGGAAACTGGGCTGTGTCGGGTGTCCCGGTGGCTGCTGGAGGCTGACAAGGATGCAGATGTTGGGGATCCCTTAAATTAAACTGGGTGAGGGACCTTCAGTGCCTCCCCGTGGGGGGAGCGGATCCCTGCTGGGTCTGGCACCGCTGAGGTGGTAGCTGTGTGGCACACCCTTGCGGGCTTTAACTTGCCCCTCTGGGATGTGTTACTGTGTTGAGAGAGTTTAACCACTGCCACCTCGAATCCCCTTATCCAGGGCAGATCCTCCGTGCGTATTTCTAGCTGTGGCTTTAATTGCTGGGACGTTGATGGGATTCCTTGCATCCGTCTTCCCCTGAAACTGGTTGAGCATACCTGGCCTGGAGGATGGTTTTGTGCCTTAAATGGCATTTCCAGCTCTTGTGCTAAGCATGGGGAGGAGTGCAGCGTAGGTGTTGCTCCAAAGGGGTCCCCATGCCTTTCCCGGGATGCTGGTGGGCTGAGCTCTCCTTGCCGGGGCATGCGGCACCATGGCAGCCCTGGCCGTGCCAGCAGCCCACCGGCTGTGGCTTTGCTGGGTGAATTCTCCTCCGAGTCCCCATCAGTGGCCGTGCACGCCATCGGACGTGCTCGTGCCCTCTCTCCAGCATGGAGCGTGGAGCCTGTGCCCATCTCCAGCTCTGCGAGCTGCATCCGGGTGGTGGAAGCTCTCTGAAGACCCAAGTGTCGGAGCCAGGCAGGATTTCTGCTCAGAGACCAGGAGATGAAAAGCAGCCTCTGTCCTTGTGTCAGACCTTATCCCTGCAAACAGCCGCACGTCAGCTTCCCCCTGAAACACTGAGCTCATTTATCGGAGCGGGAGAGGTCACGTCAGGACGCGGCGCGACTTCCCCCTCCAGCACCGTTCCCGGGAGGGGACGTGACGTGCTGCGACCCACCGCAGCGTGGCAAGGGCTGGATGAGACCCCCCGCCTCGCCCCTGCGCGCCGCGGCCGCCCGAGCCCATCCCTGCTCCGCTGTCAGCCCTCCGAAAAACTGGGCTTGACGCAGGGCCGGCAGCGGGAGCAGCCTCCCTCAGTCTTGGGATCGACTCGGTGGAAATCAATACGATTAAATTTTAATTCCCTTTCTGTCTCGGTGCTTGTTCCTTCAAAAGGGCACAGCTATCTGTCTAGAAATTCAGCATTATGTTGTGAAATTGGAATTCAAAGGGCTGTTTTGAACTTTTTCTCCCCCCCGCTGCTGTTGTGTCTGTGTGGAGCGTGTTCCCAGTTCTCCGTTTGCGCTCCTCAAATACCTTCATAAAGGATTTAATGCCCCATCCATAAATAAGAGAATAAATAAATGAGCACTTTTAGCATTGCAAAGTACAACCTAGCCGGTAGCTGCTCAAAGGCACCGAGTCTGACTCAGATCCCACGGGGTTTTGTGTCTATAACTGATTTTTCTATGAAGCCCCCATTTACATTAGAAAGGGAAGAATCAGGCCGGCATCGTCAGCGCGGAGCCGATGCACTGTATCAAACCACTTTCCAGCGCTAAAGTCGTGGGGTTTTCAGGTTCCCGCTGACACAGTGGTCGGGGTGTTTTGGATGTGGCCACGCTCGTGCTTCTGTTCGTGATAACTTTGAATCTGGACTGGCCTCATCTTGGCTTGGTGATGCAGCGTGGGCTTTTGAATAGCCCAGAGGAGAACTGGGAAGGTCGGAGGTCAGATGCTATTAGCACTCCAGAAAGGGAAAATCAAAACACTTAGCCTGGAGTCATTGAGAATCCTTCCATTTTTTTCCTCAGATTTTAAGGGATTGTCTTTTTTGGTGGGGTTTTTTTTGTTTGTTTTAATGGTCCTGATGTTTGTTTTTAACATCTGCATCAGGATCTGGGGTTCCCTGTAGGTGCATTGACATGGGAGCTTTGCCCACACCTAACCCAGACCAGGCAACACTGTGTCCTGTGTTTCTAGGACCTAGAAATCCGGAGGGAGGAGCGTAGACCCTGCGGCACAGCTCCGGCTCCCTGGCTTGGGTGATGGGGGCTTTCCCATAGGTGCTCCAGTGCCCAGATGTTGATTCCTAGGAGCCTTCTGTGCGATGCCACCGCTGCATCCCATGGGCATCCTGTGGAGCATCAGCCTGTGGGCTGGCCGAGAGGAGCCTGGCAGGAAACACCGGGGCTGGCTGACGTTGGGGTTCAGGGGGAGCCGGCGCGCGCATCCTGGGGCTGCCACGCGTGGGTTGGGAGCACTGCGATGGCCATCCTGGAGGCATGCTTTGCCTTCCCATGGTGCCACGGCTCATCCCGCCTGCTTTGTGAAGAGGGCAGCAAATTGCGGGGTGGTTTGGCTCTGAGTGGGAGGATGCTGAGGTGTAAAGGGGAAGAAATTAGTCCCTGTGGGCATAGGAATGACAGCGCTGTGGAACTGGCACTGCCAGGTCGCAGTTTGGTCCTGGCACAGATGTAAGGCCTTAAAATCCCCCCAGACTGTTGGCTTTTCCTGCTTCAGGTAGGAAAACGTCTCACCTGAGGTTCCATGATTTCTGCTGACTTCAGCCACGTTTCTCCCCAGTTTTGTTCCTAACAAATCTGACTCCAGTCTGCTCCTTTGCCATGCTCCTCCTGCAGCTCCCCGTGTGCCCCGCTGCTGGGACCGGGGTTTCCCAGCCCTGTTTCTCCTGCCTCTCCAAGGGCTTTGCTTGTCTCCGGCAGGACATGCCTGTCCCACATGGGAACCCTTCCGTTCCCCGGTGCTGCTGCCTACGGGCGGCTATAAATAACCCCGGGAGCACGGTTCAGCTGCAGCAGCTTTGGGCTGCGTAGAGCCGCGGCTGGAGGCCATCCAAGAAAATGCCGCCTCCTAATTTCAGATCCGCTTTCTCAAAATAACTCTTGTGTTTCCTCCTCTTCCATTTTTAAACTTGGCTTTAAGAAGAGCCCACGCAAAATCCCAGCCTCTCCCTCCTCTGGTTTCGGCCACTGCCTTGGGTGGGAGGGTCGGTTCGGCATCCTCGTGGGAGCTCACGTGGTCAGGAAGTGGCTCTCTTGCCCCCTTCCCCCTCCCAGGCCTATTTTAGGTTTCTTCAAAGGGAAAACAAGGGGCTGGAGTTGGCTTTGGAAGCCAAAGGCTTTTTAAGTGAGAAAGGAGATTTCCATGGTCTGCAGGGAGGATGCTGTTGATGATGGCTGTAGCTCCCAGCATGTTAAAGGAGCGTGAGGTGGGTATGAGCGCTCCCTCCCCAGCCATGGCTGCCTGCTGGTATCCCTGAGAGAGGAGGTTTTTGGGGAGCAGATGCTGCTGTTGCCCCATTGGTGGATCCCCTTTTGCATCTCTGGGTCCCGCAGTGACACAGATGAGTGTTTGCAGTTCAGCCACGGTCTTTGGGACACCTTGATCCCGCCGAAAACGGACATGGAGGACTTCACCTCCAAGTCATGCTGGAATGCACTCCAGAGATGCTTCTGCCCTTGGAAACGGCCATGGTTTGCCTGTTCCAGTGCAGATCCCAAATCCCAGAGCTGTTCTACCGGTGCAAAGCAACTCTGATGGTAAATGGGAGCGAAACTTGGCCTGGGGGCTCCAGCCCTCCCCTCCCCTCACGCCGCTGCTCCCTGTGCTGTAGCAATATTTCGGGACTCAGAGCCGCAAAGGGGTCGTTAGCCGCTGGCTGTGGAGCGTCTCCACGCGTCTCGTCACAAGTGACGGCTGGATTTGCTTCCTGATGCTTTCTGCTAAATAACAGGGATTGCAGGCCTGTGGGGGGTGTCGTTCCGCAGATGTGGGGTTGAACCCTCTGGCTTCTGCGGGGTCAGTCGCTCAACGTTCTCCTAACAAAATCAGTATTGGAACCGAGTCCTAGGTGGCTGTGCCTCTGGAAAGGGAAGGATTCAACAGGGCTTCAGCAAAGCTCCTGCGGCTGTCGAGTATGTCTCCCTGTCTCTGTCCGTCCTTCGGGATCAGCCCAGCGTGGTGGGGAACCTTCTGCTGGGTGTAATAGTCCTTCCCAAACGTGCCGCCGGCTCTCACCTCGGCCTTTCAGCAGCTCGTTACAGTTCTGCTGCGATCTGCTCAGTGCAGCAAGGAGCATCGGCACTTACCGAGGGGGTCAAGTGTTAATTGGGCACCTTCCATGGTCGAGGCGTCTCTGTGTACGTACAAAGAGGTGATGTGCTCAGAACAGCTTCCCCTCCCCATCTTTCGTTCTGGAGACGCGCATCTCGCGGTCGGTTAACGTGAGACGGATTATGTCATTCTCCTCGATTTGCTGTGTGTTCTGCCCATGGTGATTTGCCTCTGGGTTGTCTAAACACGGCAAACGCAGCAGCTGAACATGCTCGCCCGTTATGTGAAGTTAGTGCGTTGTACGCTCCGGCCTTGCCAGTTCTTCCCCTGCCGTCCGCCCCGACTGGGGTACCTCTCTCCACGTGCCCAGGAGCTTTCTGGTGGGATCTCCTGGCTGGAGCTGGGGCTGCGATCCTCTACCCACAGCTACGCTGCCTGCGCTTAGCTGGGGTGCCGGGTGTCCCGGGTACGCACTGGGGACATCCGGGTAAGCCGATGCTTCCCGGGAAGCAGTGGTGAGCCAGCGGGTGATTGGCCAAATCACCCTCTGGGCAGTGGATGAGTGTCTTTCACTCCCCAAAAATCTCACCCCTGGTTTTAATTAAGGTTTCTGCGTGCTACGGGGCCGATGTTCTCTGAGGTCAGTGGACTTCATAGCTCCTGGAGACCATTAAGCTCTGTCTGGGAGTTCTCTGTCATGTGAGGAGGGGCAATTCCGCAGGCAGCTCGGCCCGTTCCCAGTGACGCGGTCGGGCACACAGCGTGGAAGTGCCCGGCGCTTCGGGGCGGCCGGGCCGGGCGGCTCTCGGTGTCTCACCCAGGCTGTGTGTGCTGGGCTGAGATCCCCCCGTCAGCAGCTGGAACATCCCTGGGGATGGCAGGACTGCGTCTCTCCCATCCTCGCGAACCCGTAGAAGTCCCTGTTACGGGAGGGAATCTCGCGTGGAAGAGGCACTCGTGGCACACGCGGTATTTTATGGGGAGGGTAGATAATGTCTCTTAACAGCTCGGGGCACGTCCTGGTGCCGGGGTCACTTGCCTTTCCCTATGGGTCCCATGGGGAGCTGAAATCACTTCCCTGCCCCGTGGGGCTCTTCCCCCAGGGTTTGGCACAGCCCAGCCCTCCCCACCCGTGGGGCTGAGCCCTCCCCAGCTCCCCACTCGTGGAGCTCAGCTCCCATCTTACAGCTCCAGCAGTACTTATTGGCTTAAAATGTTGAATGTACTGCAAAAAAGGGGTCTCCCTTCCCCTCCCATGTTTAAATACTGGAGAAGCTCAGCTCTGCCCACTGCTCCTTCTCCACTACTTCAGCCAGCTCTGGATTTTCTCGGCACCCTACCCCAAAACAGCTAAACCGACCTCTTTTACTGAGCAAACGCCTCTGAAAAACCGGTCTACTCTCCCCACTTGCTGCCAGGTGTTTGGCTTTAGCGGCTCAGCCCCTCGGCAGCGCACAGCCATCCAGATTCATGGGACAGTCGGTCACCCCGCTGAAGGGCCTGGCTTTGCGAGGAAGTGCCCTTTCCCAAAAATGTCACCTTTTATTTAGGCTCCTGTGCAGCCAACCCGTGTCTGTCTTTTCACGCCCGTTTAATTAGTAACTGCCGTGCAGCTCCCAACACGCGTTCCCAGCGGGGTTTGTGTCTGTTATAAGCACTAGGTAGCTTGGCCGTGGGTGGGAGGGGGACAGGGAGGGGCACCTCTGCAGCGTGGAGGGAAGCGAGAGGGAGACGAGGAGCCGGGGGCAGCTCAGATCTGAGGATCACGTGCTGGTGAAGCGATGGATCCTGGAAAGGGCATCTCCGTGCATCTTGCCCATCGATGGATCCTGGAGAGGGCATCTCCGTGCATTCGGCGTTGCCCATCCTCCTCGCGCAGCTGCCGTGTGGAGGTGATGGGTGCACCCACCCCCAAGCCTGGCACCCAGAGGGATTGGGGATCAGGGTTGCTTCCCGGGAGAGCTCAGGTGTATTAAAGTCGTGCCAACTCAAGCAGCAGAGCCCTTTGCCCAGGGGGGTGTTTCCTGCAGGTCCAGAGGCTGAGCTGAGCCTTTCCACCCGCTCTCTGGCAGAGGTGGGATTTGTGGCGGCTCTGTGGGAATTTGAGAAGGGTTTTAGCTCGGGGGAGAGCTGGAGCAGAGGGCTGCGACCATGACCGATGGCAGTAATAACTTTTCTTCCCCCTCTCTCCTTTTCTCCCCGCAGAAGAAGGCGGAAGCTGCCCACCGGATCCTGGAAGGGCTGGGTCCCCAGGTGGAGCTGGTGAGTGTCACCCCTCACCACAGGGAGCTGGGGCTGGGTTTGGAGAGGTGCCGGGGTGACGAGCACAGTATGCTGTGTATGCCCAAGCTGTCGGAGCACAGCTGGGTTTAGTGCTCTGTGTCCAAGCCCCCTTCCTCGGCTGGGCTGTCAGCACACCGTGTTTGTCCTTTGACTCAAGGCTGGGAGAGTTGGGGTGTTCAGCCGGGGGAAGAGAAGGCTTCAGGGAAGCCCTTGCCAGAGTCTGGAGGGGGCAACAAGAAAGCTGGGGTGAGACTTTTTTGACAAGGGCAGGGAGTGACAAGTCCTGGCCTCTGCAGTGCTTCCTGCTTGGCTGGGCAGATGTTCAGCAGATGTTTTGCTCTTTTCCTGTGGTTGCTCTGGGATACAGTTGTGCAGCCCTGGAGTGTAGCCTCGGCTGTATGACCACATGAGGAAGATGCTGGTTGTACGTAGTCCTGGCCAGGATGGTGCCTTCAGCCTGCACCCGGCCATCCCACATCTCCCTGCTTGTGCTTGGCCACGGATTTTAGGTCATTCACAGCTGATGTGGTGAAAGTTTGGGGATAAACTGCAGGAGAACCAGGGCGATGTTTCTGCGGTTGGACTGGAGCTGCCTCTCCAGCAGCCCCAGT